ATTCTTCCAACATTATGGAACGTCACATTGTATCATTCTTCCAACAATATAGAACGTCACATTGTATCATTCTTCAACCATTATAGAACGTTACATTGTATCATTCTTCCAACATAATAGAACGTCACATTGTATCATTCTTCAAACATTATAGAACGTTACATTGTATCATTCTTCCAACATTATAGAACGTCACATTGTATCATTCTTCCAACATTATGGAACGTCACATTGTATCATTCTTCCAACATTATAGAACGTTACATTGTATCATTCTTCCAACATTATAGAACGTCACATTGTATCATTCTTCCAACATTATAGAACGTCACATTGTATCATTCTTCCAACATTATAGAACGTCACATTGTATCATTCTTCCAACATTATAGAACGTCACATTGTATCATTCTTCCAACATTATAGAACGTCACATTGTATCATTCTTCAAACATTATAGAACGTCACATTGTATCATTCTTCCAACATTATGGAACAATCTGTTACATTTAAAAAACGCCAGATGAATATCCAACTGAAAACATTCCATGAACGCTGTATAAATAATGTTTTGAGACGATTATTAAACACCAGATAACTGAACGAATGTTACTGCAGCAGCGTTTGTTCATAACTCTGAGTAACTGATACGCAGGTGTTCATGTGTTGAAGTGTTCATGTGTTCAGGTGTTCATGTGTTCATGTGTTGAAGTGTTCATGTGTTCAGGTGTTCATGTGTTCAGGTGTTCAGGTGTTCAGGTGTTCATGTGTTCATGTGTTCATGTGTTCATGTGTTCATGTGTTCATGTGTTGAAGTGTTCATGTGTTCAGGTGTTCATGTGTTCAGGTGTTCATGTGTTGAAGTGTTCATGTGTTCATGTGTTCAGGTGTTCATGTGTTGAAGTGTTCATGTGTTCAGGTGTTCATGTGTTCATGTGTTGAAGTGTTCATGTGTTCAGGTGTTCATGTGTTCATGTGTTCAGGTGTTCATGTGTTCATGTGTTCAGGTGTTCATGTGTTCATGTGTTCATGTGTTGAAGTGTTCATGTGTTCAGGTGTTCATGTGTTCATGTGTTCAGGTGTTCATGTGTTCATGTGTTGAAGTGTTCATGTGTTCAGGTGTTCATGTGTTCAGGTGTTCATGTGTTCAAGTGTTCAAGTGTTCAAGTGTTCATGTGTTCATGTGTTCATGTGTTGAAGTGTTCATGTGTTCATGTGTTGAAGTGTTCATGTGTTCATGTGTTCATGTGTTCATGTGTTCATGTGTTCATGTGTTGAAGTGTTCAGGTGTTCATGTGTTCATGTGTTGAAGTGTTCATGTGTTCAGATGTTCATGTGTTCATGTGTTCAGGTGTTCATGTGTTCATGTGTTCATGTGTTGAAGTGTTCATGTGTTCATGTGTTCATGTGTTGAAGTGTTCATGTGTTCATGTGTTCAGGTGTTCATGTGTTCATGTGTTGAAGTGTTCATGTGTTCAGGTGTTCATGTGTTCATGTGTTCATGTGTTCATGTGTTGAAGTGTTCATGTGTTCAGGTGTTCAGGTGTTCATGTGTTGAAGTGTTCATGTGTTCAGGTGTTCATGTGTTCATGTGTTCATGTGTTCATGTGTTGAAGTGTTCATGTGTTGAAGTGTTCATGTGTTGAAGTGTTCATGTGTTGAAGTGTTCATGTGTTGAAGTGTTCATGTGTTGAAGTGTTCATGTGTTGAAGTGTTCATGTGTTCATGTGTTCATGTGTTCATGTGTTTATGTGTTGAAGTGTTCATGTGATCATGTGTTGAAGTGTTCATGTGATCATGTGTTGAAGTGTTCATGTGTTCAGGTGTTCATGTGTTCATGTGTTCATGTGTTGAAGTGTTCATGTGTTCAGGTGTTCATGTGTTCACATACCTGCGGCGGGCCCGAGGCTGAGGTCCGGCTCCGTCCACTGCCATCCTCCACACAGCGCCTGCTTCCTCTTCACCAGGAACGAGCGTGGCATCCTCGAGCTCCTCTGATGAAGTCCACTCTACGGTGTCTGGAGAGAGAATCTCAGAGCGGAGGATTTCCATATCTCTGGAGAGAGGACACACCTGTGCGTGCGCGCGCTGCTTTAACTGCTGCTCCGCTGGTTTGCATGCCAGGTAGAGAGAATCTGGTCTCCTCATTTAACTGGACCTGCCATGCAAATGGAGCCGCGCGGCTGAAGGGCTCGGCGCTCTAACAGGAGCCGCGCACTAGGAAAATCATGCTTTTATTTCACGTTCCACTTGATTGTCTGTCGGGTTTATGTCACCCAAACTGGGACAAAGGCAATTCAAATCGGCTTCTTTACTGTTGAGTGTCTGTTAACCTGCCGGTGGACGAGCCTGAAAGCCTTTAGTTGGGACAGGTGTGCTTTTCTTCAGACTCCTCAAAAGCTTTTCCATCAGTTATCTGTCAGTGCAACTGTGCCGAGATCAGCAGCTCGCCGTCATTACACTGGCAATGGAAATCCACTCCAATTAAAATAAAACTTAAACTGGTCATTTTCATTTAACTTCTTATACTAAAATAACTCAAACTCAATTAGGAATGAAAAAACAATAATAATATTTTGTTTATTTATATAGTGCCTTTCAAGACCTCAAGGTCGCTTTAAAAGAAATTATAAAATTAATACTAAAATAACTCAAACTGAAATAAAAATTAATAAAAAATACAAATAAACACCCCCAAAAAATAATAATATTTTGTTTATTTATATAGTGCCTTTCAAGACCTCAAGGTTGCTTTAAAAGAAATTATAAAATTAATACTAAAATAACTCAAACTGAAATAAAAATTAATAAAAAATACAAATAAACACCCCCAAAAATAATACTTTTTTATTTATTTATATAGCACATTTCAAGACCTCAAGGTCACTTTACGAAAATTAATAAAAGTAATTAAAATGAATGAAAATGTAACTAATTCAAAATATTAATAAAAACTATAACGAAAGTGCTTTATTAACATTACTGGCCATTTTTAAAGCATTTATTAGTGTTATTTGAAACATTTACTAATACATTTCTAAAATCACATTTTGTATGTGTTAATAATCAATAGACCTGAGTTGACATGATTTTACTATGAAGAGCTGTATTTTTATGAACTAGATGAATAAACACTAATATCAGGGTTTCTGCGGCTCTTAAACCAGAGGAAAGTCTCACGTTTACAGTCATGCCGTTAAACCTTGCATGCATGACAAAAATCATTTTTAATTTCTTCCTCAGTAGTTTTGTTTCCAATTCAAATATCTAAACATCTTTAAATCAAGAAACATTTACTTGAGATAGAAATGCAAAAATCTTGAAAAGCTGAACAAAGATTATGCTTTTGCCAATACAACTCATGGTGTTTCTCCTCTGACATTTATTCCTTTAATTTCCTTTAATTGGTCTTAAAGGGTCTTTAAAAAGTCTTAAATTGATCCTCATATTGTTTATGCTGGTTAGTGTCGATGTATATGAGTGACAGTATAATAACTGCATTGCACAGGATATTCGCGGTTATTATGCAAACTGTCGTAAAGTCTGTATTAGAAGAAACTCGAGGTGAATCTGAACATCATCTGTGTTTACTGGATGCTGATGAACACTAGAGTACACACACACACACACACACACACACACACACACACACACACACACACACACACACACTCACTCACTGGCTGTATAAAGCAGTCATGAGAAACAGTCCTCACACACACACACACACACACACACACACTGATTTGCATGTGTCTTTGAGCGCTGACCTGCTCAGACATGAAGAAGAACGCGTGTTTGACTGTTAAATGTCTCTGTTTGTGATGTCGACCACACCCGCGGACACACACTCCACATCTCTTTATTAATCACTGCTGTACTGTCAGCTGCACTGTATGAGCCTGTGTGTGTGTGTGTGTGTGACTCTAACAGCAGGACTCATTTGGATAGGGTTAAGGTTACACTAGAGGTACAGTGAACCAAACAAACACCAGGACTAGTTTTGAATTTTCGACTGGTAAAACACATGGAAGTGCTTAAATAACAGCGTCTGACCGATGCGTGATCCTGCAGATTTAATAACGCGAGATTGTGAAACACACACAGCTTTTAGATGTCATGCACTTTCGTGTGTTTGTTTTCCATGTGTTTGTTTAAATGCAAAGAGCAAATGAAAGGATAATCATCTTTGCATTCATTCTAACGCTTTTAGAACTTTAGACTGATGACATCACTCCGTTCTCAGATCAGTGCTGTGATGTCACAGTATGCAAATGAGCCGAGCGCAAGGACACGCCCACAGCCGTTCCAGTGTGTTTCTGCCTGCTGTATTTACAGTAATTCCAGTGCTGCTCCTTTTACACATATACATGTATTTATATAGAAATAATTCATTTCCCGGATCAGTTTATCTGTTCTGTAAGAAATAGTATTTTTATATAATTCATCAAAGTTACTAAGACAAGACCGGGTATTGTTCAAAATTCATGCATAACTTTGATGAAATGTTTTGATCCACTTAATATGCTGACTATAGTATATACACACACACACACACACACACACAAACACCGAACCTCCATAGAGTTCAGCAAAGAGTTCACTTGAGTCGAACACCATCACAATCTAGTGTTCATAAGAAGACTTGAGCAACATTCATTCGGCGTGATCGACAGCTGATCATTCATGCGCTATACACTCACACAGAGTAAAACTGCATGTATTGATCACTCGAGTGTCAATCATCTCACACAGCATCTGTCAATCATCTCACACAACATCTGTCAATCATCTCACACAGCATCTGTCAATCATCTCAGGTGTGTGTGTTTCACACGCGAGACATGCAGAAGTTCAGGAGCAGAATTGAAGCTCTTTATTTAATTAGTCGTCCGTGTGTGTGTGTTAGTCGTCCGTGTGTGTGTGTGTGTGTGTGTGTGTGTGTGTGTTTCCCCTCAGATCTCAGTCAGTGTGTGATTTGTTTCCCTCTCTGAAAGCAGGAAACTGATGACAGTTCAGCGGATGTTCTTCAGTCTCTCGGCAGCGGCGCGCGAGATCGATCTCCATCGATAATGAGGTGAGTTAATAACTTTAATTTGATAAATCATCAGACTGTGTTTAGTGTAAGTGTGAGCTGTTCTCATCAGCTGAACGGTTTATGGACTACAGAGGAAACGCGTTTATTTTAAGCACCGTCGCGTTTAATGTTCCTGACTCGCTGAATCTCTTCTAAACTTTCGTTTTTTTATTGAAGAGATTCGTTCGGTTCAGATCAGCATCGTTCAGTTCTGTTCGGTTCAGTTCTGTTCGGTTCGGTTCAATTCTGTTCGGTTATGAACTTACACTGATGGGACAGAAATATAAACATGTATTTTAGTGCCTCCTCGCTAATATATTTGTATTAAGAACATTTTGATAACTGTTATCAAACATTATTTCTGAACGTTCTGTGAAAATGTTCAAAACTGAAACAAGTAGCAACATTTTAAAAGCGTTTGAGGAACGTCCAACTGAATGTTTCTGGTAAAATCGCTCTATGAACGGTGTATTAAATATGTTTTTGTTCTAACGGGTTGAGAACATTATTATTAAAGACCTGACCGCTTTGAATGAACGTGTTATTAATGCTCCTGGAAGACCGTTTGTTCACTTTGAGAGAATCTTGCCAGAACGTTCCCTGTTCCTTCGAATGATCGTTAATTGTGTTTGTTTAAGCGTTTGAATCGTGAGAGTTTATTTCCGGCTTGATCTCATAGGTGAGGAAGTGCAGCTCTCTCTCTCTCTCTCTCTCTCTCTCTCTCTCTCTCTCTCTCTCTCTCTCTCTCTCTCTCTCACGCACACTCACTCTAACACACACACACACACTCTCTCTCTCTCTCCCTCTCTCTCTCTCACGCACACTCACTCTAACACACACACACACACACACACACACACACTCTCTCTCTCTCTCTCTCTCTCTCTCTCTCTCTCTCTCTCTCTCTCTCTCTCTCTCTCTCTCTCTCTCACACACACACACACACACACACATATGCTCGGTCACTCTCTCTCTCTCTCACGCACAATCACACTAACACACACACACACACACACACACACACACACTCGCTCTCTCTCACACACACACACACTTGCTCACACACTCTCTCACGCACACACACACACACACACTTGCTCACACACTCTCTCACGCACACACACACACACACACACACACACACACACTTGCTCACACACTCTCTCACGCACACACACACACACACACACACACACTTGCTCACACACTCTCTCACGCACACACACACACACACACACACACTTGCTCACTCTCTCTCTCACGCACACTCACACTAACATACACACACACACACTCGCTCACTCCCTCACTCTCTCTCTCACAAACACACACACTTGCTCACACACTCTCTCACGCACACACACGCACACACACACACACACACACACACACACACTTGCTCACTCAGGGGAAATCGTATAGGAATCGCTGATGCTTGTATGATCGCGGCTTGCAGTGTGTGAGAGAGGAATTAAGAGATGAGCCGAGTGTGTTACTGGCATCTCCTGATAACTCTCTCTCACACACACACACACACACACACACACACACACACACACACACACACACACACACACACACACACACACACACACACACACACACACACACACTGATCTCTGATGATTATTATAGGCCACCCTGACAACATTCATTTACATCCACTTAATAAATGATCCGAGGCAGAGCTCGATGTTTCCAGGAGACACTGTGAAACAGAAGCAACATGAGTATTCAGTTTCTCTTCAGTGTGATTGTGTGTGTGTGTGTGTACTTGTGTGTGTGTGTGTGTGTTCTCATCTGAGCCACATGTCAATAACACCTCGAACCCTCGATTGAGCTGCACTTCTCTTCTTCTGCTTCCTCTTGTCGTCTCTTATTGCTCTCACATCCGCTTATGAACACATTTAGAGTGACTGTGCGCTTCATAACACACACACACACACACACACACACACACACACACACACACTGACCCCGAAACACCAGCGGGACTTCTAAAGTTGAGAAAATAGTTTTCAAAGCCGTTCCGTAAAAGAACCATTTTGTGGTTCCCCAGTGACCGGTCCTGTAGAAGAGCGCGTTCTCCTCGTTAGAGAACAGTGGTGTGTGTGTAGAGCAGTGGTGTGTGTGTAGAGCAGTGGTGTGTGTGTAGAGCAGTGGTGTGTGTGTAGAGCAGTGGTGTGTGTGTAGAGCAGTGGTGTGTGTGTGTAGAGCAGTGGTGTGTGTAGAGCAGTGGTGTGTGTGTAGAGCAGTGGTGTGTGTGTAGAGCAGTGGTGTGTGTGTAGAGCAGTGGTGTGTGTGTAGAGCAGTGGTGTGTGTGTTGAGCAGTGGTGTGTGTGTTGAGCAGTGGTGTGTGTGTGTAGAGCAGTGGTGTGTGTGTTGAGCAGTGGTGTGTGTGTTGAGCAGTGGTGTGTGTGTAGAGAGCAGTGGTGTGTGTGTAGAGCAGTGGTGTGTGTGTAGAGCAGTGGTGTGTGTGTAGAGCAGTGGTGTGTGTGTAGAGCAGTGGTGTGTGTGTAGAGAGCAGTGGTGTGTGTGTAGAGCAGTGGTGTGTGTGTAGAGCAGTGGTGTGTGTGTAGAGCAGTGGTGTGTGTGTAGAGCAGTGGTGTGTGTGTAGAGAGCAGTGGTGTGTGTGTAGAGCAGTGGTGTGTGTGTAGAGAGCAGTGGTGTGTGTGTAGAGCAGTGGTGTGTGTGTAGAGCAGTGGTGTGTGTGTAGAGCAGTGGTGTGTGTGTAGAGCAGTGGTGTGTGTGTAGAGAGCAGTGGTGTGTGTGTAGAGCAGTGGTGTGTGTGTAGAGAGCAGTGGTGTGTGTGTAGAGCAGTGGTGTGTGTGTAGAGCAGTGGTGTGTGTGTAGAGCAGTGGTGTGTGTGTAGAGCAGTGGTGTGTGTGTAGAGAGCAGTGGTGTGTGTGTAGAGCAGTGGTGTGTGTGTAGAGAGCAGTGGTGTGTGTGTGTAGAGCAGTGGTGTGTGTGTAGAGCAGTGGTGTGTGTGTGTAGAGCAGTGGTGTGTGTGTAGAGCAGTGGTGTGTGTGTGTAGAGCAGTGGTGTGTGTGTAGAGCAGTGGTGTGTGTGTAGAGCAGTGGTGTGTGTGTAGAGCAGTGGTGTGTGTGTAGAGCAGTGGTGTGTGTGTAGAGCAGTGGTGTGTGTGTAGAGCAGTGGTGTGTGTGTAGAGCAGTGGTGTGTGTGTAGAGAGCAGTGGTGTGTGTGTAGAGCAGTGGTGTGTGTGTAGAGCAGTGGTGTGTGTGTAGAGAGCAGTGGTGTGTGTGTAGAGCAGTGGTGTGTGTGTAGAGAGCAGTGGTGTGTGTGTAGAGCAGTGGTGTGTGTGTAGAGCAGTGGTGTGTGTGTAGAGCAGTGGTGTGTGTGTAGAGCAGTGGTGTGTGTGTAGAGAGCAGTGGTGTGTGTGTAGAGCAGTGGTGTGTGTGTAGAGAGCAGTGGTGTGTGTGTGTAGAGCAGTGGTGTGTGTGTAGAGCAGTGGTGTGTGTGTGTAGAGCAGTGGTGTGTGTGTAGAGCAGTGGTGTGTGTGTGTAGAGCAGTGGTGTGTGTGTAGAGCAGTGGTGTGTGTGTAGAGCAGTGGTGTGTGTGTAGAGCAGTGGTGTGTGTGTAGAGCAGTGGTGTGTGTGTAGAGCAGTGGTGTGTGTGTAGAGCAGTGGTGTGTGTGTAGAGCAGTGGTGTGTGTGTGTAGAGCAGTGGTGTGTGTAGAGCAGTGGTGTGTGTGTAGAGCAGTGGTGTGTGTGTAGAGCAGTGGTGTGTGTGTAGAGCAGTGGTGTGTGTGTAGAGAGCAGTGGTGTGTGTGTAGAGCAGTGGTGTGTGTGTAGAGCAGTGGTGTGTGTGTAGAGCAGTGGTGTGTGTGTAGAGCAGTGGTGTGTGTGTAGAGCAGTGGTGTGTGTGTAGAGCAGTGGTGTGTGTGTAGAGCAGTGGTGTGTGTGTGTAGAGCAGTGGTGTGTGTAGAGCAGTGGTGTGTGTGTAGAGCAGTGGTGTGTGTGTAGAGCAGTGGTGTGTGTGTAGAGCAGTGGTGTGTGTGTAGAGCAGTGGTGTGTGTGTAGAGCAGTGGTGTGTGTGTAGAGCAGTGGTGTGTGTGTAGAGAGCAGTGGTGTGTGTGTAGAGCAGTGGTGTGTGTGTAGAGAGCAGTGGTGTGTGTGTAGAGCAGTGGTGTGTGTGTAGAGCAGTGGTGTGTGTGTAGAGCAGTGGTGTGTGTGTAGAGCAGTGGTGTGTGTGTAGAGCAGTGGTGTGTGTGTAGAGAGCAGTGGTGTGTGTGTAGAGCAGTGGTGTGTGTGTAGAGAGCAGTGGTGTGTGTGTGTAGAGCAGTGGTGTGTGTAGAGCAGTGGTGTGTGTGTAGAGCAGTGGTGTGTGTGTGTAGAGCAGTGGTGTGTGTGTAGAGCAGTGGTGTGTGTGTGTAGAGCAGTGGTGTGTGTGTAGAGCAGTGGTGTGTGTGTAGAGCAGTGGTGTGTGTGTAGAGCAGTGGTGTGTGTGTAGAGCAGTGGTGTGTGTGTAGAGCAGTGGTGTGTGTGTAGAGAGCAGTGGTGTGTGTGTAGAGCAGTGGTGTGTGTGTGTAGAGCAGTGGTGTGTGTAGAGCAGTGGTGTGTGTGTAGAGCAGTGGTGTGTGTGTAGAGCAGTGGTGTGTGTGTGTAGAGCAGTGGTGTGTGTGTGTGTGTAGAGCAGTGGTGTGTGTAGAGAGCAGTGGTGTGTGTGTAGAGCAGTGGTGTGTGTGTAGAGAGCAGTGGTGTGTGTGTAGAGCAGTGGTGTGTGTGTAGAGAGCAGTGGTGTGTGTGTAGAGCAGTGGTGTGTGTGTAGAGAGCAGTGGTGTGTGTGTAGAGCAGTGGTGTGTGTGTAGAGAGCAGTGGTGTGTGTGTAGAGCAGTGGTGTGTGTGTGTAGAGCAGTGGTGTGTGTGTAGAGCAGTGGTGTGTGTGTAGAGCAGTGGTGTGTGTGTAGAGCAGTGGTGTGTGTGTAGAGCAGTGGTGTGTGTGTAGAGCAGTGGTGTGTGTGTAGAGAGCAGTGGTGTGTGTGTAGAGCAGTGGTGTGTGTGTGTAGAGCAGTGGTGTGTGTAGAGCAGTGGTGTGTGTGTAGAGCAGTGGTGTGTGTGTAGAGCAGTGGTGTGTGTGTGTAGAGCAGTGGTGTGTGTGTGTGTGTAGAGCAGTGGTGTGTGTAGAGAGCAGTGGTGTGTGTGTAGAGCAGTGGTGTGTGTAGAGAGCAGTGGTGTGTGTGTAGAGCAGTGGTGTGTGTGTAGAGAGCAGTGGTGTGTGTGTAGAGGAGAGACGTCGAGGTTCTTCAAGTTTGAGTCTCAGTGTGTTTGGATCAGGTGGTTTTCACTGAGGCGTCTGTAAAGTGTGTGAGAGAGAGAGAGTGTGTGTGTGTGTGTGTGTGTGTGTGTGAGAGAGAGAGTGAGTGAGAGTGTTTGTGTGTGTGTGTGTGTGTGTGTGTGTGTGTGAGAGAGAGAGAGTGAGTGAGTGTGTGTGTGTGTTTGTGTGTGTGCTTCTTCACTAAAGACGTTCAGATTGACATGATCAGTGTGTTTGATTGGTCGTATACGACAGCTTCGGTTTCCAACGATCACATCTCATCATCATGTCCGTCTGAGTAAAAGTTCTTTATTGGCATCGACAGTTCCATAAAGAACCTTTAACATCCATGGAAATACAAAGGGTTCTTTAGATCATTAAAACGTTCTTCTCACTGAGAAGCTTCTGTGGAGAACTGATCGCTGGAAGTGCATCGCTTTACAAACACACTTTTAGAACCTTTATTTTCAGAGTGAATGTGAGCGGAAGTGCAGTATTGTGTCATGCTGTTTAACTGAGAGTGTTACACAGGTTTCCCACATCCTCCTGACACACTCTCACACACAGTCACACACACTCTCACACACGCACACCCACTCGTACACACACTCGCACTCACACACACTCGCACTCTCACACACGCACAGCCACTCGCACACACACTCGCACCCACACTCACACACACACACTTGCACACTCACACTCGCACAACCACTCGCACACACACACACACACTCTCACACACACAGTCACACACACTCACACACACACACACACACACGCACACCCACTCGCACTCAAACACACACTTGCACACTCGCACACGCACAACCACTCGCACACACACACACTCTCACACACACACTCACACACACGCACACCCACTCGCACACACACTCGCACTCACACACACTCGCACTCTCACACACGCACAGCCACTCGCACACACACTCGCACTCACACTCACACACACACACTTGCACACTCACACTCGCACAACCACTCGCACACACACACACACACTCTCACACACACAGTCACACACACTCACACACACACACACACACACACTTGCACACTCGCACACGCACAACCACTCGCACACACACACACTCTCACACACACACTCACACACGCACAGACACACACGCACACCCACTCGCACTCGCACTCAAACACACACACTTGCACACTCGCACACGCACAACCACTCGCACACACACACACACACACACACACACACACACACACACACACACACACACACACACATGTTGTGTTTTCATGTTTTATGGGGACTTTCCATAGACATAATGATTTTTATACTGTACAGACTGTATATTCTATTCCCTTACACTAACCCTATCCCTAAACCTGCCCATCACAGGAGACATTCTGCATTTTTACATTTTCAAACAACATCACTTAGTATGATTTATAAGCTGATTTCCTCATGGGGACAAACACACTCACTCTCACTCTCTCTCTCTCTCTCACACACACACACCTGGGCCTCATGTATAACCGCTGCATAGCACAGAACCGGCCCTGAGAGAGCCGAACCCCACTGCACACACACCTGAGAGAGCGTGTGCGTGTGAGTGCAAGTGTGTGAGTGAGTGAGTGAGTGAGTGTGTGTGTGAGTGTGTGTGTGTGTGTGTGTGTGTGTGTGTGTGTGAGAGAGAGAGTGAGAGTGAGTGTGTTTGTGTGTGTGTGTGTGTGTGTGTGTGTGTGTGTGTGTGTGTGTGTGTGTGTGAGGCCCAGGGCTGCGTTTCCCAAAAGCATCGTAAGCCTAAGTTGATCGTAGAGAACATTAGTGGCAATTGTTCTATGATTAACTTTGGTGACCCCGAGGGGACGTTCCCCGTCGCTGGGATGAGCCTCAGTGTGTGTGTGTGTGTGTGTGAGGTGACACTCACTGATGATGTGCTGGTGTGTTGCAGTGAGCAGAGCATCTGTCAGGCGCGGGCCACCGTCATGATGTACGACGACGGCAGCAAGCGCTGGGTCCCGGCCGGATCCGGAGCGCAGGCCGTCAGCCGGATCCACGTCTTCCAGAACCCCAGCAACAACAGCTTCCGGGTGGTGGGCCGCAAGCAGCAGGCGGACCAGCAGGTGACGCCCACACAACACTCTGAAAGCGGCGGTGGATTATGATTTAGCTGTGCTAGCTGTAGTGAGTGTGTAATGTTGCTGTTTGAGCAAAAACAACATCTGCAAAGTTATGACGCTTAAAGTTCAGAGCAAAGGGGGAGATTTGCTTTTAAAGAAATTGCTTTTTAAGGACAACAAACGGCTGGTAGAACTACACGAGCTTCATCCCGGGTTAGTGACATCACTAACCCTAACATTTACATAAACCCCGCCTCCAGGAACACGATTTATCGATTATCATGACAGAATATGCTAATCAATGACTAGAAGATCGTTAACTCCACATCAGATACATAAACTCATCAACTAACCATCAGAAATGTCCTGTTGCTTCTACTCGAGTCTCTCCATCTTAGTCCGACTCCAGTTTGATCATAACAGGCTAAAAGTTTTTGAAATTTTCAGTGTGTGTGTGTGTGAGGTAATCGAAGCTGCTAAGGACACGAGCTCTTGTAGCTCCGCCCCCTCTGCCGGGAGCAGCAGCTCATTTGCATTTAAAGGGACACACACAAAAACGGTGCGTTTTTGCTCACCCTCAAAAAGGGACAATTTTAACATGCTATATAACAATATCTGTGCGGTATTTTGAGCTAAAACTTCACACACACACACTCTGGGGACATCAGAGACTTATTTTACATCTTGTGAAAAGGGGATTATACCAGCCCTTTAAAGCCATTTAATCCAGGTAAATGGGCATTTAACGTGTGAGACAGGTTTAGACAATAATGGGAAGTGGAGTGTGTGTGTGAAGCCACAGCACGAGGAAGGAGGAAGTCACAGAGATGTGTGTGTAGATACTGTACGTTCAGTTTTATAGTGAGTATCTCCGTGTTTGGTGTGTTAATGCATTCGCTGCTGTTTATTTGCGTGCTGGGCATCACAGATAAGTGTTGTGTGCCGCAGATCTCTGTGGTTTTCTCTGAGACGTCTCGGTCTCACGGCTTCTGAATTGTCTTTCATTTCCTGTGAGTTTGGTTCGTGTGCTGATGCACGCCGTCTGAGGTGTAAGTCCCTGAAAACAACACTTGAGCAAATGCACAGCGAAAATATCTCTTGCGTTACAAGTCACTAATTCCAATCTAGCTTGAGGAACCGAAACGTGAACAGAACTGAAGTGTTGTACTGGTGCTGGATGTAGACTCGAAGATGAACTGGTCCTCAAGTAAACCAATATGCTTCAATATATTGGATAAATATCATGTCCTCATCTCGTATATGAAGCACTGCGACTGCTCATGCATCATGTGGCCTTGCTGACCCGTCAGAGGATAACACACACACGCCGTAGTGCCGTCACTGCCCTGTAGATGGCGATATACCTACTTTAGTAGCTGAAATAAACTTAAAGTCAGGTGCCATGCAAAATGTAAGGAGTAATGCATTCATATGCTAGAGCTTCATGATTCATCTTTAAGAGATCTTAATTCAAACTCTTCCTCCTAAATGACAACGACTCAGCTCTGTCTATTAGACCCTCGATGAGTCCCATCACAGCCGACATTACACACGCGTTTATCCAAAGAGACTCACACTGCATTTCAAGCCACACATTTACATTCTCATCAGTTCTTGCTTTCCCTGGGAATCGAACCTATGACCTTGGCGTTGCAAGCGCCGACAGTCTACTGTTTAAAGTGCAGGAAAGCTATTATTTAATATTTAATTAATATCTAATATTTTAGTTTGATAAGCCTATAGACATGCAGATCTGCGTTCTGATCCAGAGAGAGCAGTTGTCATGTGTAGATATGAAGCTTTTTAACCACAGAGAATCATTATTTCTGTTTTACAACAATTCAGATTATCTCAGAAGTACAGGGATAAAAGTTTATAGTTAAGTTATAGTTACTATATATAGTATAGTAGGGAAAAAAACATTTAAATATATAATTTTGGTGATCAAAGATGAGTTTTAAGGGATCAAATGATTGACTACAGTGGGACTTTAAAGATTTTTTTAAATAGACAGCAGAGATTAACTTTTGTCTGAACCTCATGGTATTTTGTTTAGTTCAAATCAAATCAAAGTTTATTTATAAAGCACCTTAAAAAACACAGTGTGTACCAAAGTGCTGTACAATTCCAAACGGATTAGATAAAACACAGTAAAATACAAAGAAAGAAATATAATACTAATATAAACATAAAATCAAAGCATAACGGTCCTTACAAAGTAGCAAAGGCCTCATCAGACCAGTCAAATAGTTGTCATTCAGATTTATTTTTTATGTATCCTGTCCTTTGTGAATGTGACTCCAGTGTGTTCTGATGAAGGTGTGTGTGTGTGTGTGTGCAGGTGGTCATTAACTGTCCTCTGGTCCGCGGGATCAAGTATAACCAGGCCACTCCCACGTTCCACCAGTGGCGGGACTCGCGGCAGGTGTGGGGGCTGAACTTCGGCAGTAAAGAAGACGCGGCTCAGTTCGCTAGCGGGATGCTGCACGCGCTCGACGTGCTCAGCGGCCAGACGGACTCGGGTCAGTGATCAGCAATTATTACCGTCTCGTATTACCTGTGTGTTTGGAGTTAGGTCTGATCTGTGTGATTCGGTCTCTGTCGTACAGGTGCATGTCCTCCCTCTCCTCGACCGCCTCAAAACGGCCCGAGCGCGGAGGAGTTAGAGCAGAAGAGGAGGTATGATCATCATCATCATCATCATCATCATCATCTTTAGATCAGACCTTCACAACAGTCCAAACCAATCCCAATTCACTTCACTTACTGTTAGCGCTTCATCAGGGATCTTATTCTACATCATCAGAATGTAACAGCTGATGTCATCAGTGCCTCTTATTCATCAACCAATTACATCACATTTACCCACATTTATTTCTCATTGAACATCCTGTTTCATGCGTCACATTACAGAAGCGATACGAGTTTTCTATCTATTTGTCCGTCTGAGAATATACAATATATATATTTATTTATGAGTCCCTCTGAAAATATACTGTATAATATAATGTATATTTATTTTTCTATAATATTTATTTATTTATTTATATATATATATATATATATATTTTTTTTTATTGGTCCCTGAGAATATATTTTTGCATTTATTTGCGCATTTATTAATTAATTTATTTGTGCGTTTATTAATTTATTTGTGCATTTATATTATTTATTTGTGTATTTATTAATGTTGCATTTATTTATTAATTTGTGCATTTATTAATTTATTTCTGTATTTATTAATTTATTTCTGTATTTATTTGTGCATTTATTAATTTATTTCTGTATTTATTTATTTGTGCATTTATTAATTTATTTCTGTATTTATTTATGTGTGCATTTGTTAAATAAACGAACAAATAAAAAAAATGCACAAACAAATTAACAAAGGCACAAATAAATTAATAAACACAGAAAATAAATTAACAAATCAATTAATAAATGTACAAATAAATGCATAAATGCACAAATACATTATTTATTTATTTTTGCGTTTATTAATTTATTTGTGCATTTGTTAATATATTTGTGCATTTATTAATTTGTTGGCTTTTATTAATTTATTTGTGCATTTATTTATGTATTTGTTTATTTGTACATTTATTGATTCTATTTTGAATTGGTTCTCATGTGGATGTCAGTGAGATGCTGAGTGTAACTGGTGTGTGTGTTCAGGCAGGAGCAGCAGGAGAGAGAGAGACAGGAGCAAGAGCGAATGGAGAGAGAGAGACGGGCGTCTGTGGCTCCAGCCCTGCCTCCTGTTCCTCCTCCCGCTCCGGCCTCTGGTCCTCCTCCTCCTCCTCCACCCGGACCTCCACCTGCTCCAGGACCCCCACCGCCGCCCCCACCACCACCTCCTTCAGGAGGAGGTCCACCACCCCCGCCCCCGCCCTCAGGAGGAGGAGGAGGAGGAGGAGGAGGAGGAGGAGGAGGAGGAGGAGGAGGAGGAGGAGGAGGAGGAGGAGGAGGAGGAGGACTAGGAGGAGACGGAGGTCTGGCCGCAGCACTCGCTGGAGCTAAACTACGGAAAGTGGCCAAGGTCAGTCCGAAGTTCACCCTATCCACTGTGTTCATCATCTGTGATGTTTAATAAGATTCCTGTATAGAGACAGAGCGCATTTAGGCCACGCCCACCAGAGGGCAGAGGGTCTCCATTGACTTTGTATTGCGAGAAGCTGCCTCTTTGTCATTTCTGAATTATAACAAAAAACAAAACAATGTCTAAAAGGTGTACAGCAAACAAGCTAAAAAAAACAGAAATAAGTTTTTATAAGCTGTCAACCCCAAAAAACAAGCGTTTAAGACACAAAAGTGCACAAAAGCGCACAACAGATTTGTCTCTTCTGGCCACCAAGGAGACGGCCAGGTCAGTAGGCCGGTCTATGGCAGCCCTGGTGGCCACGGAGAGACATCTTTGGTTAAATCTATCCGACATGAAAGATAGGGATAGATCTGTTCTAATGGACGCTCCGCTCTCGCCTTCTGGCCTCTTCGGCGACTCGGTTAACACGGTCGTTGAGAGGTTTCAGGAGGCGAAGAAACAAGCAACGGCGTTCCAGAAGTTTCTTCCTCCCCGAACTATGGTCCCCGAGACTGCTGGGCGGGAGCAGTCTCGGCCGGATACGAGCTCCTCACAGCATAGAGTGCAACAGAAACAAAGCGTCGCCACTCAGGCTCCTCCACAATCAGGGAGGTCTTGGTGGCGATCGCAGTCAAGTTCTGAGGACTGTCATTATCTCGAAGAAGGCTTCAACTAAGAAAGGCCCTCCTGGGAGAAATGGTTTCCACCTCATTACACGGTGCCCATTTCTCCTCTGCGCTCTCTTGGGGGAGGAGGGCCGCAGTGCTGCCAGTTCGGTTGTTCCCTGCCGGTTCACCATTTTAGGGCGCCGAGGTTGCTGTTCGACCAATACCAGAGGCCAGTCTTGAGAGACTGATCCCCTTAGTAGAATTTCAGGCGCCGTGGAAGCTACTGCCAAATATATCTCGTTGGGTCCTGCTTACAATAGAAAAGGGTTACAGAATTAACTTCGGTTCTCGTCCGACCAGATTTCTAGGGATCCTCCCTATGGTGGTGGAGCCCGAGTAGGCTCTGGTTATGTATCAAGAAGTTCAGACTCTTCTATGAACGGAGGCTATAGAAAGAGTTCCTCCTCCCAGCAGGGAGTCAGGGTTTTACAACCGTTACTTCATTGTTCCAAAGAAGGATGGAGGGTTGCATCCTATTCTAGACCTGCGCCAACTAAACCGCAGGGTTCAGAAACTTAAGTTCAAGATGCTTACACTCAAACAGATCGTGTCACAGATTCAGTCCGAGGACTGGTTTGTCACAATAGATTTGAAGGACGTGTCCATGTAGCCATCCATCCTCATCAAAGGGAGTTCCTAAGGTTTGCTTTCGGGGGGCAAAGCGTACCAATATCGGATTCTTCCCTTCGGCCTAGGTTTATCACCCCTCACATTCACTTTCACCATGCGTGGATGCAGTTCTGGCTCCACTGAGACTCCAGGGCATTCGCGTGTTAAATTAAATCGTTCTGTCTCAGATTAAGAAAGTTGGGGTTGAGGCTCATGATTTTGGATTCGACGACGATGCAGGCACAACTGTCCCCTGCCCACTGCTGGAGGCTTCTTGTCATTGCGTAACGCTAACGACTGATGCTTCCCTCACAGGTTGGGGGGCGATCATGAGTGGTCACTCTGCAAAGGGTCTGTGGCAGGACCATCTACTTTCTTGGCACATAAAGCGGCTAGAAATTATGGCTGTGTTTCGAGCTCTCAAACTTCCTCCCAGACCTGAGGGGCCATCAACACATCTCTTACATCAACCATCTCTTGGTGGTCTTTTACATCAACCATCAGGGGGGGTCTAAGGTCACGTCATCTATGCAAACTGGCTCATCAGATCCTCCTATGGGCCCAAGGGAAATCGCTGTCTCTCAGGGCAGTATGTATTCCGGGGCATCAAACCAGGGAGCGGATATCTTGTCGAGACAGGGGCTGAGGCCCGGGGAATGGAGACTTCACCCTGAGGCGGTGAAGCTCCTATGGGAGAAGTTCGGTCAATTACAAGTAGACCTATTTGCATCTTCAGAGACAACTCACTGTCCCATGTGGTTCTCTCTCACGCATCCAGCTCCCCTGGGGTTGGATGCGATGGTTCAGTTGTGGCTGAGGCTATACCTGTACGCCTTTCCTCCAATATCTTTGCTCCCAGGAGTTCTGGAGAGGCTTCGCCAGGACGGGGCCTGTCTTCTATTAGTAGCCCTGTACTGGCCAGCCTTCTAGACAGAGAGCTTCTAGACAGCTCTCCGATGGAGATTCCGATCAGGAGGAACCTATTGTCCCAAGCAGGGGGCACAATTTATATCCCTCGCCCAGAGTTGTGGAAACTGTGGACTGTGAGGGGACCCAGCTCATAGAATCGGGTATCTTGACTGAGGTCGTGGAACCCATACTCCAGTCCAGAGCTCCCTCCACGAGAAGACTATATGCACTGAAATGAAGACTGTACTCTTCTTGGTGTAGACAACGTCAATTGGATCCAGTCAACTGCCCTGTTGGTTCAGCATTTGATTATTTGCAAGAACGTTTCTGTGCTGGATTATCTTCTTCCACCTTAAAGGTGTATGTGGCGGCAATACATGCTTACCACACTCCTTTGGGTGGGGCATCATTGGGGAGAGATCCTCTCATTACTCATTTTCTTTTTGGCACTCTGAGGCTAAGGCCTGCCCTGCGCACTAGAGCACCGGCTTGGGATTTACACTAAAAACTTTATTTCTCCTTGCTATTTCTTCCATCAAGAGAATTGGAGACTTGCAAGCCTTGTCGGTTGCTCCTTCGTGCCTGGAATTTGCACCTGGTATGGTGAAAGCCTTTCTTCGCCCTAGGAGGGGTTATGTCCCTAAGGTCCCTACTAATGTTGCGGATCACATTATAGGGAAGAGGGAACGAGACGCTGCGTCGCCCTGCCATACTCCCGGTATGCCCCTGATCGATTTGCTTCAGCATATCAGAAGCTAGCGCGGCCTGTTTCTGGGTATGCTTTATAGTTTCCTTGTCTGTGACCGTATTGTAAAAAGCACTATATAAATAAAGATGACTTCACTTGACGTCACCCACCTATGACGTCTCGTCCAAATTGGCGTCTCGTCCATTGGACTGATTTCACACGTGCTTCATGACGCAATCACGCAGGGGCGTTTCCACAGCGTCTCGTTCCCTATTTAGGGAACCAGGGTTACATATGCAACCTGAGACGTCCCCCCCCCCCCCCCCCCTTGATGGGCGTTGTTTTTAGATTATGATGCGTGTCGCTCTGTCTCTGTTTGAGCTTTTGTACATGTTCCGAGTGAATGATTGACAGGGGAGTGGGCGGTCCTTCAGTGTTGTCCATGATACATCAGAACTACAGATCTAATCACCTGACAGATGTAAACACCCACTGTATGAGGTCGTGGACCGGCGCTTTTCTACCAGGGGCCTCAAGATGACTTAAAATGAGACAAACTAAGCTAAACAACATGAAATCAAGATGTTTTTCATTTTAATTCTGCCCCCGAAAAAACTTTGAATATTGTTGTGTACAATGAAGGCCCTTAAAGTCAAAAGCCCTCTGCTGGTTGTTCACTGGATGTGCAGGAGGACAGTGGAGCGGCGGCTCCTGCGGCGAGCGCCAGTTCAGGAGGAGGAGGAGGAGGAGGAGGTGGAGGAAGTGGAGGAGGAGGAGGAGGACCAGGACTGATGGGAGAAATGAGCGCAATTCTCGCTCGACGGTCAGTTAAATGCCACCACAATCATATGATGTTTGCTCTGGAATACTATAGCATAAATTTAGTCCAAAACCATCCGCTTAGACAGGAAGTCGTTTAACAACCAGCTCCTACATCTCTTTACCAAAGACTTTACTTAGATATTAAAAGACTGTGCACTCATATTACTATGAATGGTAGAGAGTGCATTGCACAATATAGCCGAATAAGTCCCGCCTCCTCAATTAAAGAGCCAATCGCTGACTGGTAAAGACATTGCGTCACTGCAGCCGCCGTTAGAAGCTCCGAAATCACATACTTCCCTACTATAAAACAGTATACGAGCTGAGTATGTCTGAATTCCTAGCACTCTTAACACAGTAGGTGAAAAGTCTCCGGATGACCTACTACTTACGACGAGATTGTACATTTTCCCACTTATTACACGGATACTTGACACATAAGTAAATAATTAGACACGAAATATTGATCTGGTCGAACTGCTCTCTGGCTTCCGCGGAGAGAGCAGTTTCAGCGGCGAGTTCAGACTAGACGGACATTTAAGAGATACTGTATACAGTCATAACACTTATTACACAGCATTTCACCACAGAAATAATTATGGAGATCAGAGATATTGATTTCAGATTATCACGGAATATCACACCGCTGGATGGAGCGATTGACCAATCAGAATCAAGTATTCCACAGAGCCGTGTAATAATTCCGCATAACACATTCATGCTATATAGATTGTACTTTTATAGTGGTTGTGAAGCAAGTTTCAAACCAAATGTAGTAAATATTATACAGGGACTTTAAAGAGACTTTGTCTTTACCCAGTGAACGTTCTCAAAGTTATGAACAAACGTTCTTCCAGCAACGTTAATAGAACGTTCGTTCAAAGTTATCTGGTCTTTAATAATGTTCTCAAAACGTTATTTATACATCATTAATGGAATAATTTCTTCTGAAATATTTTAGTTGGATGTTTTTTAAATGTTACTACTTGATTCAGAACGTTCAGAGAACACTCAAAAGTAACGTTCCCGTAATGTTTGAAGAATGATGACATTTTGACCAGTCGGAGAACATTCATTAATAACATTTTCATAACGTCATGGGAACGTTAGCAAACCGCTTTTTGAACATATTTTTGTTAGCTGGGTATATGTGCGTTTAGAGGCGAGTCATTCTGAAATCATGGTTTCGGTGAATAAAGCGGCTCCACTTAGTCATGCGTTGACCTTCAGACAATCTGCAGCCTTATTTAAAGATCTTCCTCTCTGTGTGTTACAGGAAAAAAATGTCGGACACTCCAGGGACGAAGAAGGTTGAAGCGAGCAGCGTAAGTGTGTTTGTGTTTTACTGGAGCTCTGTGTGTGATGGCGACGCTGATCTCTGATCTCTGTTCTCAGGCTGATCCTGTGAGCAGCGACTCCAGACCTGCAGGTGAGAAAATCACTTCTCACCGCACTTCCTGTTTACGCTGAACGCTTCACTTCACATCCTGACCTCAAACGCACTTTGTTTCTCATTCAGATAAAGCAGACGTGTTGAAGAAGCCGTGGGAGAAGCCGTCGTCCGTTTCACGGTAAAGTCGCGTCGTCTTCTGTGTCTGTTCACAGGATCAGTTAAACCTGTCGTCAGTTTTCATTTTAATTTTATTTATTTAGTTATGTGGTGTTGTCATTTGTATTAGTTTTTGTTTTTAAAAATATTTCTAAATACTTTTCTTTTTTCTTTTAGTTTTATTTCAGGTAGTAATCGTTGAACAACTTCATCTTATTTTAATTTTTGTTTATTTTATTTTATATTGATGTTTTGTTTAATTTCAGCTTAACAAAACAGTTTTTAGTTGGTTTAATTAATGACACTGGTTTAAACAGGGTGAACTCAGCGCCTAAGACTCCCAGCCCAGTTTCTCCGGCATCTGCGGCTCCGTTGAGCAGGTATTTCATGCATCAGACTTAGCTTTCTGTGTGTCTCTGAGGGTTCTGTGTGTCTCTGAGGGTTCTGTGTGTCTCTGAGGGTTCTGTGTGTCTCTGAGAGTTCTGTGTGTCTCTGAGGGTTCTGTGTGTCTCTGAGGGTTCTGTGTGTCTCTGAGGGTTCTGTGTGTTTCTGAGGGTTCTGTGTGTCTCTGAGGGTTCTGTGTGTCTCTGAGGGTTCTGTGTGTCTCTGAGGGTTCTGTGTGTTTCTGAGGGTTCTGTGTGTCTCTGAGGGTTCTGTGTGTCTCTGAGGGTTCTGTGTGTCTCTGAGGGTTCTGTGTGTCTCTGAGGGTTCTGTGTGTCTCTGAGGGTTCTGTGTGTCTCTGAGGGTTCTGCACGTTCTGAGGGTTCTGTGTGTCTCTGAGGGTTCTGTGTGTCTCTGTCTCTGAGGGTTCTGTGTGTCTCTGAGGGTTCTGTGTGTCTCTGAGGGTTCTGCACGTTCTGAGGGTTCTGTGTGTCTCTGAGGGTTCTGTGTGTCTCTGAGGGTTCTGTGTGTCTCTCAGGGTTCTGCACGTTCTGAGGGTTCTGTGTGTCTCTGAGGGTTCTGTGTGTCTCTGAGGGTTCTGTGTGTCTCTGAGGGTTCTGTGTGTTTCTGAGGGTTCTGTGTGTCTCTGAGGGTTTTGTGTGTCTCTGAGGGTTCTGCACGTTCTGAGGGTTCTGTGTGTCTCTGAGGGTTCTGTGTGTCTCTGAGGGTTCTGTGTGTCTCTGAGGGTTCTGTGTGTTTCTGAGGGTTCTGTGTGTCTCTGAGGGTTCTGTGTGTCTCTGAGGGTTCTGCGTGTCTCTGAGGGTTCTGTGTGTCTCTGAGGGTTCTGTGTGTCTCTGAGGGTTCTGTGTGTCTCTGAGGGTTCTGTGTGTCTCTGAGGGTTCTGTGTGTCTCTGAGGGGTCTCTGAGGGTTCTGTGTGTCTCTGAGGGTTCTGTGTGTCTCTGAGGGTTCTGTGTGTTTCTGAGGGTTCTGTGTGTCTCTGAGGGTTCTGTGTGTCTCTGAGGGTTCTGTGTGTCTCTGAGGGTTCTGTGTGTCTCTGAGGGTTCTGTGTGTTTCTGAGGGTTCTGTGTGTCTCTGAGGGTTCTGTGTGTCTCTGAGGGTTCTGTGTGTCCCGGAGGGTTCTGTGTGTGTCTGAGGGTTCTGTGTGTCTCTGAGGGTTCTGTGTGTTTCTGAGGGTTCTGTGTGTCCCGGAGGGTTCTGTGTGTCCCGGAGGGTTCTGTGTGTCTCTGAGGGTTCTGTGTGTTTCTGAGGGTTCTGTGTGTCCCGGAGGGTTCTGTGTGTCCCGGAGGGTTCTGTGTGTCTCTGAGGGTTCTGTGTGTCTCTGAGGGTTCTGTGTGTCTCTGAGGGTTCTGTGTGTCCCGGAGGGTTCTGTGTGTGTCTGAGGGTTCTGTGTGTCTCTGAGGGTTCTGTGTGTTTCTGAGGGTTCTGTGTGTCCCGGAGGGTTCTGTGTGTCCCGGAGGGTTCTGTGTGTCTCTGAGGGTTCTGTGTGTTTCTGAGGGTTCTGTGTGTCCCGGAGGGTTCTGTGTGTCCCGGAGGGTTCTGTGTGTCTCTGAGGGTTCTGTGTGTCTCTGAGGGTTCTGTGTGTCTCTCAGGGTTCTGCACGTTCTGAGGGTTCTGTGTGTCTCTGAGGGTTCTGTGTGTCTCTGTGGGTTCTGTGTGTCTCTGAGGGTTCTGCACGTTCTGAGGGTTCTGTGTGTCTCTGAGGGTTCTGTGTGTCTCTGAGGGTTCTGCACGTTCTGAGGGTTCTGTGTGTCTCTGAGGGTTCTGCACGTTCTGAGGGTTCTGTGTGTCTCTCAGGGTTCTGCACGTTCTGAGGGTTCTGTGTGTCTCTGAGGGTTCTGTGTGTCTCTGTGGGTTCTGTGTGTCTCTGAGGGTTCTGTGTGTTTCTGAGGGTTCTGTGTGTCTGAGGGTTCTGTGTGTCTCTGAGGGTTCTGTGTGTCTCTGAGGGTTCTGTGTGTCTCTGAGGGTTCTGTGTGTTTCTGAAGGTTCTGTGTGTCTCTGAGGGTTCTGTGTGTCTCTGAGGGTTCTGTGTGTCTCTGAGGGTTCTGTGTGTCCCGGAGGGTTCTGTGTCTCTGAGGGTTCTGTGTCTCTGAGGGTTCTGTGTGTCTCTGAGGGTTCTGTGTGTCTCTGAGGGTTCTGTGTGTTTCTGAGGGTTCTGCGTGTCTCTGAGGGTTCTGTGTGTCTCTGAGGGTTCTGCGTGTCTCTGAGGGTTCTGTGTGTGTCTGAGGGTTCTGTGTGTTTCTGAGGGTTCTGTGTGTCTCTGAGGGTTCTGTGTGTTTCTGAGGGTTCTGTGTGTCTCTGAGGGTTCTCTGTGTCTCTGAGGGTTCTGTGTGTCTCTCAGGGTTCTGCACGTTCTGAGGGTTCTGTGTGTCTCTGAGGGTTCTGTGTGTCTCTGAGGGTTCTGTGTGTCTCTGAGGGTTCTGTGTGTTTCTGAGGGTTCTGTGTGTCTCTGAGGGTTTTGTGTGTCTCTGAGGGTTCTGCACGTTCTGAGGGTTCTGTGTGTCTCTGAGGGTTCTGTGTGTCTCTGAGGGTTCTGTGTGTCTCTGAGGGTTCTGTGTGTCTCTGAGGGTTCTGTGTGTTTCTGAGGGTTCTGTGTGTCTCTGAGGGTTCTGTGTGTCTCTGAGGGTTCTGTGTGTCCCGGAGGGTTCTGTGTGTCTCTGAGGGTTCTGTGTGTCTCTGAGGGTTCTGTGTGTCTCTGAGGGTTCTGTGTGTCTCTGAGGGTTCTGTGTGTTTCTGAGGGTTCTGTGTGTCTCTGAGGGTTCTGTGTGTCTCTGAGGGTTCTGTGTGTCCCGGAGGGTTCTGTGTGTCTCTGAGGGTTCTGTGTGTCTCTGAGGGTTCTGTGTGTTTCTGAGGGTTCTGTGTGTCCCGGAGGGTTCTGTGTGTCCCGGAGGGTTCTGTGTGTCTCTGAGGGTTCTGTGTGTCTCTGAGGGTTCTGTGTGTCTCTGAGGGTTCTGTGTGTCTCTCAGGGTTCTGCACGTTCTGAGGGTTCTGTGTGTCTCTAAGGGTTCTGTGTGTCTCTGTGGGTTCTGTGTGTCTCTGAGGGTTCTGCACGTTCTGAGGGTTCTGTGTGTCTCTGAGGGTTCTGTGTGTCTCTGAGGGTTCTGTGTGTCTCTGAGGGTTCTGCACGTTCTGAGGGTTCTGTGTGTCTCTGAGGGTTCTGCACGTTCTGAGGGTTCTGTGTGTCTCTCAGGGTTCTGCACGTTCTGAGGGTTCTGTGTGTCTCTGAGGGTTCTGTGTGTCTCTGTGGGTTCTGTGTGTCTCTGAGGGTTCTGTGTGTTTCTGAGGGTTCTGTGTGTCTGAGGGTTCTGTGTGTCTCTGAGGGTTCTGTGTGTCTCTGAGGGTTCTGTGTGTCTCTGAGGGTTCTGTGTGTTTCTGAAGGTTCTGTGTGTCTCTGAGGGTTCTGTGTGTCTCTGAGGGTTCTGCACGTTCTGAGGGTTCTGTGTGTCTCTGAGGGTTCTGTGTGTCTCTGAGGGTTCTGTGTGTCTCTGAGGGTTCTGTGTGTTTCTGAGGGTTCTGTGTGTCTCTGAGGGTTCTGTGTGTCTCTGAGGGTTCTGTGTGTCCCGGAGGGTTCTGTGTGTCTCTGAGGGTTCTGTGTGTCTCTGAGGGTTCTGTGTGTCTCTGAGGGTTCTGTGTGTCTCTGAGGGTTCTGTGTGTTTCTGAGGGTTCTGTGTGTCTCTGAGGGTTCTGTGTGTCTCTGAGGGTTCTGTGTGTCCCGGAGGGTTCTGTGTGTCTCTGAGGGTTCTGTGTGTCTCTGAGGGTTCTGTGTGTTTCTGAGGGTTCTGTGTGTCCCGGAGGGTTCTGTGTGTCCCGGAGGGTTCTGTGTGTCTCTGAGGGTTCTGTGTGTCTCTGAGGGTTCTGTGTGTCTCTGAGGGTTCTGTGTGTTTCTGAGGGTTCTGCGTGTCTCTGAGGGTTCTGCGTGTCTCTGAGGGTTCTGTGTGTCTCTGAGGGTTCTGCGTGTCTCTGGGGGTTCTGTGTGTCTCTGAGGGTTCTGTGTGTTTCTGAGGGTTCTGTGTGTCTCTGAGGGTTCTGTGTGTTTCTGAGGGTTCTGTGTGTCTCTGAGGGTTCTGTGTGTTTCTGAGGGTTCTGTGTGTCTCTGAGGGTTCTGTGTGTCTCTGAGGGTTCTGTGTGTCTCTGAGTGTTCTGTGTGTTTCTGAGGGTTCTGTGTGTCTCTGAGGGTTCTGTGTGTCTCTGAGGGTTCTGCACGTTCTGAGGGTTCTGTGTGTCTCTGAGGGTTCTGCACGTTCTGATGGTTCTGTGTGTCTCTGAGGGTTCTGTGTGTCTCTGAGGGTTCTGTGTGTCTCTGAGGGTTCTTTGTGTTTCTGAGGGTTCTGTGTGTCTCTGAGGGTTCTGTGTGTCTCTGAGGGTTCTGCGTGTCTCTGAGGGTTCTGCGTGTCTCTGAGGGTTCTGTGTGTCTCTGAGGGTTCTGTGTGTCTCTGAGGGTTCTGTGTGTTTCTGAGGGTTCTGTGTGTCTCTGAGGGTTCTGTGTGTCTCTGAGGGTTCTGTGTGTCCCGGAGGGTTCTGTGTGTCTCTGAGGGTTCTGTGTGTCTCTGAGGGTTCTGTGTGTCTCTGAGGGTTCTGTGTGTCTCTGAGGGTTCTGTGTGTCCCGGAGGGTTCTGTGTGTCTCTGAGGGTTCTGTGTGTCTCTGAGGGTTCTGTGTGTCCCGGAGGGTTCTGTGTGTCCCGGAGGGTTCTGTGTGTCTCTCAGGGTTCTGCACGTTCTGAGGGTTCTGTGTGTCTCTGAGGGTTCTGTGTGTCTCTGAGGGTTCTGTGTGTTTCTGAGGGTTCTGTGTGTCTCTGAGGGTTCTGTGTGTCTCTGAGGGTTCTGTGTGTCTCTGAGGGTTCTGTGTGTCTCTGAAGGTTCTGTGTGTCTCTGAGGGTTCTGTGTGTCTCTGAGGGTTCTGTGTGTCTCTGAGGGTTCTGTGTGTCCCGGAGGGTTCTGTGTCTCTGAGGGTTCTGTGTGTCTCTGAGGGTTCTGTGTGTCTCTGAGGGTTCTGTGTGTCTCTGAGGGTTCTGTGTGTTTCTGAGGGTTCTGCGTGTCTCTGAGGGTTCTGCGTGTCTCTGAGGGTTCTGTGTGTCTCTGAGGGTTCTGCGTGTCTCTGAGGGTTCTGCGTGTCTCTGAGGGTTCTGTGTGTTTCTGAGGGTTCTGTGTGTCTCTGAGGGTTCTGTGTGTCTCTGAGGGTTCTGTGTGTCTCTGAGGGTTCTGCACGTTCTGAGGGTTCTGTGTGTCTCTGAGGGTTCTGTGTGTCTCTGAGGGTTCTGTGTGTCTCTGAGGGTTCTGCACATTCTGAGGGTTCTGTGTGTCTCTCAGGGTTCTGCACGTTCTGAGGGTTCTGTGTGTCTCTGAGGGTTTTGTGTGTCTCTGAGGGTTCTGTGTGTCTCTGAGGGTTCTGTGTGTCTCTGAGGGTTCTGCACGTTCTGAGGGTTCTGTGTGTCTCTGAGGGTTCTGTGTGTTTCTGAGGGTTCTGTGTGTCTCTGAGGGTTCTGTGTGTCTCTGAGGGTTCTGTGTGTCTCTGAGGGTTTTGCACGTTCAGAGGGTTCTGCACATCTCTGATCACTGGATCTCTGTGTGTCTGTGGTTCTTGCAGGACGAGGCCCGGCAGCAGCACCGGAGGAGACACCGGATCCAGAGACGGTTCCGACCTGGAGAAATTCAAAGAGGTCAGCAGCTCGTTCTCACACGTCGACTCGTTTCTCTTTTGAACAGACTGACTTACTAAAGCATGTTGTGTCTGATAACAGGAAATCCTGGAGGAGATGCGCAAAGAGCTGCAGAAAACCAAAGATGAAATCATCCGCGGTCAGTCGTGCTCTTCCTCTGCTGCTCTTGAGGGAAATACAGTGTGGTTCTAGATCTGACACTGGGATTGTTGTGTTTCCTTCCACAGCTCTGATCGAGGAGCTGCGGAGTAGCAGTGTGGTGTAGCAGCTTCACGCGTGAGCATCAGGACGATGAAGAGACGTCTGCTCAAACCACAAGCACTGCAAAGAAATTTGCTTCTTCCTCAGTATTTTTGAATAAATTAAGATAAATTTACTTGAGAAACCAAATGACATCAGATATTAAGTCTTGGTTTGCACAACCAAGATCACATCGCAATCAAATCAATCAAATATCACAGCCAATCAGAAGAGCGTGTGGGCGGAGAGATGCTTTTCAGCTGCATGGTGTCAGTCATTGGCCAAAAATACATAATTTTATACAATATTAATAGACGTGATAATAATTCTTAAACAATTCTATTTATTAAAATTTATTTAAAATGTCATGTATGTAATTTTGCTTCTCAGGTAAATGTATTTTGGTTAAAGAATGTTTAGATATTTTTAGTGGAAAACAAGATGCCTTCAGTTCTGGACCCCTTGCATATCTTTTACACCTGCTGCCTTTCACTTCTCTTTTTTTATGCATCATTCTGTATGTGTGTGTGTGTGTGAACATTAATGATGTCTATTAATATTTTTCTGATCCGCTGCTGTTTATTCTGTCTAATGCGTGTGTTTTAACCATCGGTTCACCATGTGCATCTAGAAATAGTGTCAGTAGTTAGTTGTTTACATCTGCACTAATTAGAACATGTGGGCTTCAGTGTAACTGCAGGTTATTTATCATCCGCTGTGTGTTTGAATAGGGGTTTTCAATCTCGTCTCCATGGAAAAGCTCAGAGAACAAGTGTAAAAATAAATGAAAATAAGATTGGATGAAATAAAAAAATAATAATTTTAATAATATAACAGTGCAGCATTAAAGTGAAGGGAGAAACATAATAATGTAACATATACAAATCAAAGCGCAATATTTTGCATATAATATTTGATGTATTGTACATTATAATACTTTTTCACCATATAAAATTGTGAATATATTTTAATTGTGTTTATATTTTGGGGTCCTTGGCATGTGAAAGATTGAAAACCCCCTGCGTTAAGTGAACCAGATCTCAGGGAAGAATTGAGTGTGTGTGATTGCAGAGGAACATCAGATGTGGCGAACGAACGAACGACTGTATTAATCTGTTATTTTGTATGTCATTAACGAAAAAGTACTGTAGTATTACCATGCTTTTTGGTCATGTACGATGGTACCGTCAAAGTACTCTTGCTGATTGTTTTACAGATTGTGAGAGATCCGCTATGCAGCGCTTGAAAGTGCAAATAAAAGCTGATCCCTGATCAGTGTATCAGCCTCAGTGTGATTTCAGAACATAGAGCGCGCCGCGCGTCCACCTGACCGGAGATCAGTGCGCGCGCACACAGGGGGCGGGGCCTGGCGCGCTGACGTCACTCACCGTGATGAACTCTGAACACGAGAGTCAATCGTGCAAAAGCGTGTTAAATATTTTCACTCGATCCGGATCAAGACGCGATAAATGAGGCGAGACACCTGTCAATGCACTCATATATTCATAATCAGAGCGGAGAGATGGTTCATATAGTGCGTGTGTGGTAAACAACAGCTTAGCTCTGACAGTAAACAGGTAGTTTGGATAAATCTCTCAATTGATTCAGATTTAATCAATGTTTTTTTTTTTTTTTTTTACTTAATCATCAGAGATAATATGTGAGTAATATCAGAAATGGAGTGATGATTTGGTGTGTAGTGATTAAAATCAGTTTGGTTGGTGAAGCTCAAAGTTCATGTTGTGTTAGTTTGTCAGGTAAGTTAACGTTAGCTTAGCTTCAATTACTAACTCAAAACCTTCTGACATTAATAACGAGCTCATGATTATCATCACAAACATGTTCGTGACGCGATTCGTTGTTTTAAATCGTAATATGGCAATAATTATGCCAGTTACACTAATGAGTTGGTACTACCATGTGTTTCTGAACTGTACTATAGTAATATCATACTCTACCAGTCCAGTCACGTGATCTTCTTTGAAGTGTAAGTTTTCTATTATACGAGTATGGTAATAATTCAGTACCGTGATGTTACTGTATAGTACTATCAGTTTTAACTTGTAAACTTTTCCTGATCAAGATGAAGTAACGATATTATAAAGATGTATTGTAATACTGATATAAACAAAGTTTTTATTATATTTAATACGTTTTAACTTTAAAAAAATTCTGATCATGCCGAAGCAAATATTTTAAAGAGAGATGAAATATTCTGACTCTGATAAACCATTTTTTAAAATAATATATAATCTTTTTATTTAACCCTTGTTTTATTTTATTTTTTTATTAAACTCTTTAAAAAATATATATTTTAATTAAAAAAAATATTTAAAAAGCAATGTTTTATCCAGCCAGAGTAAAATCGTTAAAGAGAGATAATAAATATATATATATATATATATATATATATATAAACCGAGTGAACTGTACTGGACTGTGTTTGTATAAACACACAGTCTCACACACAAACACACATTTACTATCACACACATGCATTTTTCTCATACACACACTCACACTCACACACTCACACTCACACATACTCTCTCTCACACACACACACACACTCACTCACACACTCACACTCACACATACTCTCTCTCACACACACACACACACTCACACTCACACATACTCTCTCTCACACACACACACACACTCACACTCACACACTCACACTCACACATACTCTCTCTCACACACACACACACACTCACTCACACACACACACACACACACACTCACACATACTCTCTCACACACACATAATTCACTCTCACACACACACACACACTCACTCTCACACACACACACACACACACACTCACTCTCACACACACACTCACACACACATAATTCACTCATTTGATGTCCTGGTTTTGTCGTCAGGATCTGAAGGGTGTCGTGTGTCAATCACTCTCAAGCCCCGCCCATCATGACGGAGGTCAGCGTGGTGAAGGAAGGCTGGCTCCATAAACGAGGTATGGCACACTTTTTTTATTATTATTATTATTATTATTTTTTATTTTTTTTGCAACAATAACAAATACAAAAACCAAGACAATAAAACACAATACTAAAGAATACAGTACATAGGGTTACATTACAAAAAACAACAAAGAATATCAAGCTAGCTTAAATGATTGACACCATTGCAGAGTCTTACATGCAGTAGAGTTTTTAGAGCTCTTCAACGAATTTAGATATATATCAAGATCTTTCTTAAAAATAAAAAAGGAAGGAGTTTTCTTTGAAAATTTACACTTGTGAATATAAAATTTGGCAAGAAAAAGTAGCAAATTAAGAACAAATTTAAAATGACAAGGGTCTAATTTCAAAGAGTCACCAAAAAACACAATTTTTTGGCTTAAATAGAAGTTCAAAGATAGATACTTTTTAACAAAGTTTGAAAAGTCAATCCAAAAAATTTTACAGTACACACATTCCCAAAATAAGTGAATAATTGTCTCATCAAATTGATGACAGAATGAGCACAAAGGAGAAATACTGTTATTAAATTTAGCAAATGTATAATTAACTGGGTAGCAATTGTGAACAATTTTAACAGAGACTTCAACCACTTTATTAGTTAAAAAGAATTTCCGCTGAAGAAACCAAAAATCTTCCCATACTATATCATTAAATTTGTTATTCCAAAAGCTTACACAAGAGGTATGGCACACACACTCGTGTGTCCTGCGGTGGGTGACGTCATCCTCTGATGTCACGTGACGTGTGTGTGTGTGTGTGTGTGTGTGTGAGACAGGTGAGTACATAAAGACGTGGAGGCCGCGCTACTTCGTCCTGAAGAGTGACGGATCCTTCATCGGATATAAGGAGAAGCCGGAGCCTTCGGTGGAGCAGAGCTCACCACTCAATAACTTCTCAGTGGAAGGTGTGAGTGTGTGTGTGAGAGTGAGTGTGAGTTTGAGTGAGTGTAAGAGTGTGTGTGTGTGTGTGTGAGAGTGTGTGTGAGAGTGTGTGAGAGTGTGTGTGTGTGAGTGTGTGTGTGTGAGAGTGTGTGTGTGAGAGTGTGTGTGTGTGTGTGTGTGGGAGTGTGTGTGTGAGAGTGTGTGTGTGAGAGTGTGTGTGTGAGAGTGTGTGTGTGAGAGTGTGAGTGTGAGTGTGTGTGTGAGAGAGTGTGTGTGAGTGTGTGTGTGTGTGGTAAGCGTCTGCTTGACCGGGTCACATGTTCCTCCAGAGTGTCAGCTGATGAAGACGGAGCGCCCGCGGCCGAACACCTTCATGATCCGGTGCCTTCAGTGGACGAGCGTCATCGAGAGGACCTTCCATGTGGAGCGCAGCGAGGAGAGGTGTGTGTGTATGTGTGTGTGTGCACGCGTGTTTCTGCGGCTCGACACACGCGATCTGGAGTCGAGGCGAGCGTTTCCCATGAGGGTTTAAAAAATAC